TAGTTAAACAAGGAAGTAGTTTTTCACTCTCACACTGGACCAAGTAGGCCCCAGGGTTTCCTGCACTTGAAGAGGATGATGGCACAAGTCAGGAGTGTGATGGAATACTCTCCACTTGCCTGGATGGGGGCAGCTCCAACAACACTCAAGAAGCTTGACACCATTCGGGACAAAGCAGCCGCTTGATTGGTACCACATCCACGAACATCCACTCCCACCACCACCATCGCTCAGTGGCAGCAGTGTGTACTATCTACAAGATGCCCTGCAGAAACTCACCAAAGATTTTCAGACAGCACCTTCCAAACCCACAACCACTTCCATCTAGAAGGACAACAGCAGCAAGGGAACACCATCACCTGCAAGTTCCCCTCTGAACCTTTCACCATCCTGACTTGGAAATATGTCGCTGTTCCTTCACTGTTGCTGGGTCAAAATCCTGGAATTCCCTCCCTTATGGCATTGTGGGTCAACCCACAGCAGGTGGACTGCAACGGGGTTTAAGGAGGCAGCTCATCGCCACCTTCTCAAGGGGTGGGCAACTAATGTCACAATGTCAACATCTCTTGAATGAATGAAAAAAAAGCCCACAAAAAGAACCAAAGAGTTGTAGATGCTGGAAATCCGAAAGAAAAGCAGAAATTGCTGGGAAAACTCAGCAGGTCTGGCAGCATCTGTGGAGAGAAATCAGAGTTAATGAAGAACTTCTCCAGTTCTGAAGAAGGGTCACTGGACCTGAAACAATAACTCTGTTTTCTCTCTCCACAGATGCTGCCGGACCTGCTGCGTTTTCCCAGCAATTTCTGACTTTATGACCGAAAAGAATAATGGCCTCTTGCGAAGGGAGCCTTCCCAGTTAGATGGGAGAGTCACCCGCCCTTAGTGAACAGGTGAGGACTGGGGGGAAGGATTTTAGTTGAGCCTGGCTGACGTTTTTGAATTGATGTTCAAATAACTTCAGTTTAATGACGTAACTAATTCAGCTCCCTCTCTTCCCTTCCCCTGGTTTAATTACACACCCAGTTCAGTGCCCACTCCCAGTTCAGTCTGCTCTCCTCCCTCCCCAGATGTAAGCCCGCAAGACCCTGGGAAGGTCCAATACAGTGCAGCTTCCCGTCCATCTGAGGTTTATTCTCTCTCCCACTGCAGCAGTTAGAGCTCCAGGCCGCTTTGTTTAACGCAAACCTCAAACAGAAGCAACACCTCCGCTTGAAGTCACCACAGGTCGCTACCTTCCCCAGCTCCGTCCGTGAAGAGGTAACGTCCATCACTTTGAATCTCTTCTTCCATTCTTTCCCATGCTTCAGTTTTTGTGTGTCAACAGGGAGAAAAGGGTCAGCCTTGGCAACTGGGTCATTTCCCTTCATTGCTCACCCAGTGACAGCACCAAGTACTTATAGAGTCACACAGCCATTGAGTTATACAGCACGGAAACAGGCCCTTCAGCCCAACTCCTCCATGCTAACCAGGTTTCCTAAACTCAACTAGTTCCATTTGCCTGAGTTTGGTCTATAGCCCTCTAAACCTTTCCTATCTGTCCATCGGTCCAAATGTCTTTTAGACAGTGTAACTGTAGCTGCCTCTCCATTCCCTCTGGCAGCTTGTTCTGTGCTCAGCACCACCCTCTTGTGTGAAAAAGTTGCCCCTTATGTCCTTTTTACATCTTTCCTCTCTCACCTTAAACCTATGCCCTCTAGTTTTGGACTCCCCCACCCAGGGGAAGAGCCCTTGACTTTTCACCCTATCCATGCTCCTCATGATTTTACCAACATTTATAAGGTCAGCCCTCAGCCTCCGACATTCCAGGGAAAATAGCCCCAGCCTATTCAACATCAAGTACAGTGAAGGGAGACTTTGGGAACAATGTCAACTATTCTTTGTCCAAGAATTTGTCAAAACCCCAGCCTCAGATATTTCTCAGGGGTTTAGTGGTGTACATGAAACATTTTCAAGATTCCAATCCAAGCCATGCAGAGACCTGGAAGGTTACAGGTTCAGTTATTGTGATCTTCATGTCTTCATTACCACTGGATTCAATCATTCCAGTTTAATTCAGTTTAAACCAAATCTCTGCTGCCTTTGTCTGAACACACATCAAATCTTATTCCCCTCTGCATGTTGACCTACATTGGCTCCCAGTTAATGTCTTGATTTTAAAATATAAATCCTTATTTTCAAATCTATTTGAAGTTTTTCTCCTTCCTGTCTCTGTAACTCGCAGCACAATTATCCTCTGTATTAATCTGTGTTCCTCTAACTCTAGCCTTTACTACATCCCCAGTTTTAATCATTGCGTCACTGGGGCACAGCTATCGGGCACTGAGGCAACTAACTCTAGAATTACACTCACTCCCTTAAAACCCATTTCTTTGGGCAAGACTTCAGGTCATAGAATCCCTGCAGTGTGGGAACAGGCCAAAGACCCATCAAGTCCACACTGACCTTCACGGAGCATCCTACCCATGGCCCCACCCACCCACCCCCAACACTATAACCCTGCATTTCCCAAGCGTAATCCACCTAGCCTGTACATTCCTGGACACTTTGGCATGGCCAATCTACCTAACCTGCACATCTTCAGACTGTGGGAGGAAACCGGAGCACCCGGAGGAAACCCACGCAGACACAGGAAGAATTTGCAAACTCCACACAGACAGTCACCTGAGGGTGGAATCAAACCTGGGTCCCTGGTGCTGTGAGGCAGCAGTGCTAACCACTGAGCCACCGTGCCATCCCAGCATCTTGCCTAATATCACGTAATGTAGACCAGTGCCCTGTTTTCTTTGTAGCTCTCCTGTATTTCATTATGCTAAAAGCGCTATGACAACATAGGTTGTTGTTGGCGGCAGGATGCCATAGAATCATATGAACCAGAACGGGGCCATTCAGCCCAGTGTATTCATGCTGGCTATTTGAAAGAGCGATCCATAGCATGTCACTCCTGTGCTGACTCCTGCTCTCTGTAAATACCCAGCTCCTTTGCATAAGTTCCCGTTGAAGCTGCTTCCTTTAAGGCAGTGAATTCGAGACCACAACATGTCCAACTGCCCTCCAACTCCAATGGCCTTTTTGTCAACCAGTGTAACCTGTGCCCTGTGACTCTCTGCCTCTCCTCCTTTCTGCCAAAGCACTTCACAGATTTGAACAGAATCCCCCCTTAACATCTTTGCTCAAAGAACAATCTCAGCCTCGCCACGGGATTGGAGTCTCTCATCCATGATTCCAGTCTCAGAAATATCTTCTACACTTTGTCTACGGTCTGTACCTCCTTCCTAAAGTGTGGTGCCCAGTACTGCCACTCTATCTGGTGTCCAACACCCCTTCCCTGGGCCCAATGAATCAGAAACAACCAGGGTTCTTTTGTGTTACATACTTCACCCCCTGGTGGAAAACACCTGTCTGTGCTGAGGGGACGCCTCGCCTGGTCTCGCCTTGTCCAGTCTCAGCTTTTCGACATGTATCAATCTAGCTGCTCCGTCAACAGCCCCCAACCAATCTTAGTGCCCCATTCACTTCAATGCAAGAAAAAAACAAGGTGAAATGAACCTTATAAAAAGTGAACAGAAACTTTGTAAAAAGAATACCATTATCCAGGATAATGAGGCACCCTACCCTGCAGTATGCATGAGTATTCCTTTCTAAAGGCCTGTCAAATGATCAATGGTCAAGGGTAAACCACTAGAAAGTCTTAACAAGGAAAGACACTCACCTTACATAACAAGGTGTAGTTTATTGCACGATAGTAGCAGATACAAATAACATTAACTAGTTAGGTCCCGTTACAACCAACAAGGAGCCAGGTCTTTCACGTCTGACTCCAGTGGACCCTCGGGTAATGTTAACTGTTCCTGCCCTGGCGATATGATCGAGGAGGGTGGTATGCGAGCAACTTCAACATTAACTCTTTTAGAACTATCACCTTTTCAACATTTACAAGCCCCATTCGAGAAACCTGGGAACAACATCAAGGCTGACACTTCAGTGCAGTATTGAGGGAATGCCATTCTGTCAGAGGTGTCACCCTTCTGATAAAATGTTAACAGAGCCCCTATTGAGTGGGTGTAATGGATCCCACAACACTATTCAAAGTGGAATGAGGAATGGCACGGTGGCTCAGTGGTTAGTACTGCTGCCTCACAGCACCAGGGACCCAGGTTTGATCCTAGCCTTAATCCCAGCCTCTGGTGACTGTCTATGTGGAGTTTGTATGTTCTCTGTGTGGGTTTCCTCCCACAGTCCAAAGATATGCAAGATAGGTGGATTGCCCAGGGATGTTTGGGGGACTTGGGGGAATAGGTCTGGGTAGGATGCTCTTCAGAGAGGCAGTGTGGACTTGTTGGGCCAAATGGCCTGTTTCCACACTGTAGGGATTCTATGATCTATGTATGTTTCATCAATGTTCTAACCAATATTCATCCCTCATTAGTATCTGTGAGAGCTGGCTGTGCACTATCTCCTAGATTTTTTTTAGAAAAGATTCCAGTTCAGAGTTATTTTATCGGCTGTATAATACATTGGGATGGATATGGGGTTTCCCAGTCTGACACTGACCCTGTTGTTCTCCTGCTCACAGTTTGCAGACTTGAAGCAGCAATTCATCACCATGGTGAGCATCACAAAATGTTATGTGACGCACCTGCAGGGCTTACTGAGGATAAAGCACCAAAAGAATCTGTTCACACTGAGTGTCAGGGCCAGTGTGGGACCAACTGCTTGAGATACACTCCTGTAACAGGAGATTCTAGCTCGGATTGGAGACTTGATTATGCACCTCACCCCCTCAGCTGTGAAAAACATATGTCAAGATTTGATTTTTTATGTTATCCAGAAGTTCACAAACGTCAGAGATGATACCGCACCTTGAGACAGTATGAAGCAAGTTTGGAATAATCTATCTCAGAAGGACACATTCCTCCTTAAGATATCGGGGAGAGAGAGAGCTTCTGCAACTGTATGTGAGCACCTGAAGAGGGGTAAATGTCTTTAGACAGTCACAGAGGAAAGATCAGATTGTTTTGTGCCATTTTCTCCCTCAGCACCTCTCCTTAAGGAGATGACTCGAAGATATAAACAAGTGGAGTAAGAAACCATCGGCAAATCCTGCCCACACCCAGTCACTGCATTCCTTCCCTCTTCCACGTGGATGCTATTCCGAGGTCCTCTTTCAGTGGGTTCAGAAAAGAGTTACACATTCCATAATACCCTTCAAAGACAAACCAGGGAACTGAGCTCTCCAGGCTGACACTCCTCACCTGCACAAACATCAAACATCACAATAAACAGCTCGATTGGCTCTGCTTCGTATTTTTTTGGGGGGGACTGAAATACAGCTGGGCTTTGTGAGGAGGCTATGGCCTAGTGGTATGATAGCTAGATTGCTATTCCAGAGGCCCCAGGTAATGTCTGAGAACCCACGTTCGAATCCCACCATGGCAGATGATGAATTTGAATTCAATAAAAACCGTCTGGAATTAAGAGTCTAATGATGATCATGATTGTTGGGAAAAACCCACCTGGTTCACTAAAGTCCTTTAGGGAAGGAAACTGCCTTCCTCACCTGGTCTGGCCTACATGTGACTCCAGACCCACAGCAATGTGGTTGACTCTTAACTGCCTTCTGGGCAATTAGGGATGGGCAATAAATGCAGGGTCAGCTTGTGACATCGTATGAATGAATAGGAGAAAGGGGGTTGACATTTGGATTATAGAGCTATGCTGCGAGAGCTTCAGACAGGATAGGTAGATGGGAGTCCCACCCCAGGATGAAGAAACCCACCTAGCAGCACAGAAGTCACTGCATCACTCTGTCCACAGGAACATCCCTGACCTACATAATCGCTTGACATTTTTGTCGAGTGTTCCAGCAGAGCCCCAGTGCAAGCCAGAGGAGCACTGAGGCACTTTGCAGCCTTTGGGACTCCAGTCCAACAACTTCAATCTGACCTCCACGTTGTTCCTCATGCCCCTCCCCCACCCCATTAAACATCATGGCCGTAAGAGGGGGGGATGTGTGTGCTTGTACAGGAGTTTGTGAGGTATTGAATAAGGGTGAGCTCTCACACAGACACATAAATTAGGAGCAAGAGTAGGCCATTCTGCCCCTCAACCTGCTATGACATTCACTAAGATTATGGCTGAATTGACTTGTCTCCAAATTCCACGTTCACATTTATTCCTGGTAACCTTCGGTTCTCCTGCCTAATATCTATCTGCTTTGCCTTTAAGGATCCCAGTTCTGTGTCTGAGATGGAGGGTTCTAAAGCCACACCGCCCTCTGAGAGAAAAGAGTTCTCCCAATTTCTGCCCTAGAATAGTGGTCCCTTTATTTAAAACTACGTCACTCCAGTTCCTCAGAGATAGCAAGAGCTGCAGATGCTGGAGTCTGAGATAAC